TTCGAGAGGGTGCTGAGCTGGAGAATCTTAACGTAAATTTGGTATTCTCCAATAACAGGAAACTATACACTATTTTTCTTGATCGATAACGAAACATTCAACAGAGAGGGTGCTTCCTTATGGACATTTTGATAATTTCTTTATATGCAATCTGAACAAATTGAACGGCAAAGGTTATCTTATAAAAGTACATTTTTGTCAATTTTTTTGTTAAATTGTGGCGATTTTATTGAATGATCAAGATCATTGATCAACCATACTATTGTTTCATTTAGATTTTATTATTTATTTCAGAACAAAATGTGTACACATATACTACATATTAAAACACCGTCTTGGTACGACTATGACGTAAAACTAGTTAAGTTAGTAGGGAAATGAATTGCTCTAGTTATTGTTAAAATGCATATGGTTTGGTCAATATTTATTTTGACCAATTTTATAACGGTCTTTATAATGGTTTCATTCTTTTTGAGTCGCTTGTGCACAGAGCTTCAAAAAAAATTTTATCTGAGAAATTTGAATTTTGGTTATGTATTCTTGGTGTGTTTGTGTATTCTTTTTGTGAATTTTATTTTCTGTGAGTATGACCAATTTCGTTTTCACAGTATAAAAATACGCCTGAATATAGGCTAAATTTCAACTAAAGACGCATTCAGTTGATATTTCTGCTGTTAATTGGAGACTCCGGGCGAAATTCGGCTTATAATTCAGGAAGCTGCCAACCATGAGATGATATTTTAAATGTAAGAAAAACAACCAACTTAAGATGTTGGTGGAGGAATACCATTTATTTCTACACATTCGGATCATTTTGTTCCAGTTCAGTTTTCAGTTTTATAATTACATTTTGTCTGTGTGTATGTTTGCAATATTCTGAGCATGAATATCATTCTCGGTCGATTGCATCGGTTGCTCTCGGTCTATATGTGTTTTGCACTCTTTTCCTCTTTCTTTTTAACTGCTTTTTCATTTGACAGGTTTGAATTCTACCTATATTTACCTTGATTATTATCAAAACAGCCGCTGATGCAGGTAAAGCCAATAACATGATCAAACGTCACATTGAGTTACAAACTATCGACTGTACAATCGAATTCAATGTACTGTAATCTAATAGAACAGCCGATCCGGCTACAAATGACAAACATTGCGTTCCTTTAAACTCATCAACAAAACCATTGTCATTTCCATTCTATTATCGAAATTCACACTACCTATCAGTTTGAATTCGGTGACGAATACGAGCAACGCCAGCGTTGTATTTCATTCAGAAGCGCCGTCGAAAAATATTCTATGAAATTGTGACCGACGAAAAATGTTCTATTGGAATCGCCCCGGAAAAATAAATGCATGAAAATAAATACGCGTTAGACATATATTCGTAAAAATATTGTTGGGGCATTTCATATCACAAAAGAAATACGTTTAAGTATTCCGCCTACCAATTAATATCACCTATTTGCTTTGCTCTCGCTTTTGTTTAGTGAACTATTATTATTAGTAGTTTTGAAGTCATAACTCGATCCAATGCAAGTGATATTGAAATCTGGAAGCTGATTCAAAATTTTTAATCATTTTACAACATTTTATGCCTTAAGAACAATAAAAATGATCAAAAAACAAAAAAGTTATAGTTTTTGGTTTTAGTTACACTTCGGGTGCGCCACCCTGTATATTACAATCAATTTTCCCTTTTCATAGATCAATGCAATGCATCCAAATTGACTTTTTAACCCAAACAAAATGGTCCTAGTAGAAGTTTTGCTTACGGCTCTGAAAAATTCATTAGTGAAAAGAATCAAATCATATTATTTGCAAATTGAAGGAATTGTGATTAATTCTTCAATAATATGTGACAAAAGCCGATGAATTCATTGTTCCAAAGTACAGAATTCAGAAGAATTTCAAGTCAACATCTCCAGGTCACTCGTTTCTGTACTCAATTTTTCAAATTCAACTTTTTCGAGACTTAAATTGTCCGAAACGAAATTTTTTTAACGCAATTTAGAGCTATTCATTTCTGTCATTACAGAAAATAAAAAGAATTACATTGGTAATCCCGAACTTTTCCGTACCGTTGGCCTGCGTTGTTCGTATGTACTTTTGGTTATTTTTTGTGAATTTTCTTGAAATAAAGGCAGTGAAAATATAATAATGAAAATAAAGTGAAAAATCGGTCACTTTAACTAAAACTTCGACATTTTTGTATGAGCCCGTAAACCGATTCTTATTGGCTTTAAACTTTCTGAAGTTTCATTTTTTGGAGAAAAAATGAGATTCTGAAAATTTCATGTTGATCGCATTTGCAGAAGTTGGGGTTTTGGACCTCAATTTTTTCCAAGAACCTCAGAAAGTTTGAAGCCAATCAGAATCGATTAACGGATACCTCCCATACAAAATTGTCCAAAAATCGGTAATTTTAGTCAAAATTTCAAAAATTTTGTATGAGACGTACCCGTTAATCGATTCCGATTGATTTCAAACTTTCAGAATCTTATTTTTCTCCCAAAATATGGAATCCCAGAAAGTTTGAAGCCAATCGGAGTCGATTTACAGGTACCTCCCATACAAAAGTGTCAATTTTTTGAGGTTTTTCTTAAGGCAAGCACCCCAGGCAAGCATCAAATCGAAAATGGCTCATCCTCGAACTTAAACTAAGTTTTTTGGATACACAACTTTTGGCATTTCCAGATTTTGATTATCTCAATTATTTTTTGAGTTATGGTGTTAACAAACACCAACGACGACGGCACACGAACGGAAACGTTTCTCAAAAAGTGGTTTTCTACGCGTTTCATGAGTTTTTATGATGATCTAAACCAATTTGGCGAAAAAAAGTTTTCGGGACCAATTCCTATACTTTCCCTTGACACGGTGTGTACGGAAAAGTACAATAGCGGCATTCAATTTGAAAAAAAGCGACAGCTTTGTTCAAGACACGGAATTGTCGTGATATGCAGCGGTAGTACTAGATCGGAATAGTCATTGTTGACGTTTAAAAAAAAATGCCGGTGTGAGTGTACAAAAATGTGAACATGTTCGCCGCACATGTGTTCCTCACATACAACCAAACCGTTCGAATAAACAATCGATGTCATGTGTGTAGATAAGTAAGAACGTGTGTGCGTCAAGTCGAGAAAAAGAAATTAGAGCCAATCCATTGGTGATAAAATTGGAGGTATGTCTCAAGTGGGTAAATACGGCGTTGAAACGATTTCGTCGGTGTATATTTTTTTTGTTCATAAACAAATGAAGTGAAAGAAGACAAAACAACAAACAAAGCCATGTCCAAAGGTCGGTTTTCGATTCAATAAACCGGATTTGTATGGATATTCCCGTTGCGGATATCATTCAATCCAAATTATCACCTTCTCGTTATGACAAACGTCCTACAAGCAACTGTCTTCCAAATTCTAATTGACTTAAGAAAACATGAACTTCAATCATCGTTCACAGACGCAAATAAACACTTTCCACTTGATTTCGCCTGATTAGCGATTGAAATGGAATCGTGTTCGCGAATCACGTCAAAACAACTCCAAATTCATTTCAATTTGATAGGGCCACGAATTTCGGCAGAGCCTTGAGATCCTGGGTATTAGCTTAGCAAATTAGTCGAGACCAATAAAGACGAAGACGCAAAAAAAACAATTGTAGACATTGATAACGCAGAAAAAGTGTGCGTTCTATCATTGCTCTTGAATCGTAGATTTGATGAAGTACACGTTTCCTGAACAAAAATCCACACACAATCTAATAAATGTTTTGAATTTGAGTGAAGAAACAGAAAAAAAACAAACGTAAATACATGAACGATTGCTTCGAGATAGGTCTGTGACCCATATTTCATGTAATATGTACACACGCAGGCCACAATCAAATGGGCACATGTGTAATAATTTGTAGGCGCTAACACTAACAACTAAACAATTTTTAGGCTCAACGTTTAAAAACGCAACAAAATGTGATGACACGTTCAACATACAGTTTTCCGCAAAGAAATGTTTGCCATTCTCTGTCTCGCCCTGAGGCACCGCATCAAAAACGCATTTTCAATGTAAGGAATTCAAAAAACTATTCCGAACGATTCCAACGAAGAAAAAAACCCACACACACAAATACATTTGAAATCTCTGAGAGCCGACAATGAAATTTTGCTTGTAAATTCTCTGTCGTTGATTGTTGATGCATGTGTGTAAAGTAGCGAGCGGAGGCTTGTACAACATTTGTATGCGTGTGACTGACGTGATTGTATTGTATTTCACATAGTGTAATTTGTTGTTTCTTCTGTTTTGCTCTCGGTTTCGGCTCACTTGTTGGTTGTTTTTTTCTTTATTCGTTCCATTTGTTGTTTACATTTGCTTCTGAAAACGACAGCGCGCATGAGAATAAAAGACGAATGAAAGAGGAGAAGACAACAGAGAAAAAAAAACAACAGCAATGAAAATGGACTTTGGACCGTGTGGCATATTATGATTATCGAACGTATACACTTTTCAATTCGTGTGTGCGTGTGCGACAGATAAATATAGCGTATAGGGAAAAATAACACGTTCAGATTTGAATTAAAACCAATATAGTTGAAATCACACATTCAGAGAAAAAGACAGAGAAATATAATTGAATTTTGTTGACTCGGTCTTATTTGGTTCGATTCACATAAGATTCAAGTTGAACTGGTCATTTTAAAACGACAATGCAATCAAGCAACGTTCTGTTTTTGGTTTTTGGTGGGAAATTCTTTTCGATGGAAACAATGGCGTGTTTTCTTTTGACGGAATTATGAAATGAAATGTGTGAAAGTAGATTGATGTGGTGCGAGTTGAAGGCAGACAGAGGCGGAAAACCACAGAAATGTATGTAAGCATCAAATGCACTTTTGAATGAAAAATCGTGAAAGAGCAAATGCTATTTGGCACACGGCACGTCAACTTGAATCATTTACTTCAACTTAAATAATTTTTTTCAATGAAAATCTTCTTCAACTGACAGAAACTCGAAATGTTTTGGATCAAATGAAGGTGAAAATAATTGAAAAGGCAAAAAAAAAACTCAAAGAAACCGATCAACACTGAACCACCAATAGAGTATTATTATTTCTACAAACATTGAGCAAGTAGCAAACGTGCGCTCGTGATGACCCGAAAACATTTCAGTGTGAGAGGGGAAAAAATCGATTGGCACAGTTTGCGTTCTGGAGTGTGTAAAATCATATGACTGAAGTCAATGTTTGTCTATAAGTGTTGGGCTGCTGAGAAAGAGTCAGTTTTGTGAGAGAAAAATTCAAATGAACGGTATTTTGCTTTCACATTAAAGCGTGTGTTCCTCCGTTCAACGTTGAAAATCGGTTGCACTTTGCACCTATCTCGCTCACATGTATGTCGCAATGGTGGCGGTACAATGTGAATTGATAGCACAAGCGCGCGCGCACGCTCGATCGCCCACTGTCGCAATATTTTGTGTTCAATCCACCAATTTTATGTATATGCACAAACATTGACAAAGAGCTAAAGAAAAGAGAATCACATATATGTATCGCTTCATCGATTCTAATTTATTGCACTGTGAGTGCAATTGAGTTGGCATTTGCATACAGGCGAATATAACCAATTTGCTTGAATATTGCTGTTGCTGTTATTGTTGACATGGGTTAAGTTCTCTATTGAAATTTATCCATGTGTATGAGTGTACATGTGTTAGAATGGCTCGTTGACGGTTCAGCTCAAAGTGTCGGTATGAGTACGTACATGCAGTGTGTACGTAATTTTTGTGTTGAACATTTTCAACAAGCATTTCATTGAAGTCTCTTTCTCTCGGCATTGGCTTTAGCGTACACGTATACACGTAAGCATGCCATACGAGACAGTGTGTGTGCGCCCATGTGTTGAGTTATTTAGTTCAGGGGGTCTGTTTCATAATCGCCATCGTTTGCCTAATGCATATGTATTGACATCTCTTCACAGAACAAATATGAATAAACACAATCACAGACGGCGGACACGCAGAGCGTGTACTCAAACGTATGAGTGAGAGTGAGTGAGAGAGAGAGAGAGAGAGAAAACTTAAAAATGAACATTAACACGGCCGAAAAGTGTTTCGGTTAGGTTAGTAATAAGTAAACTGCTGCAGTGTCAATTAGTATGTGACTCTATCTCGAGCAGTTCGTTTTATTTTTGTTCCTCTATTTTTGTACTCTGTCTTTTTTTTGGGGTATTTGGTTTTCATCGGTGTTCGTTTGAACGTTTTTTTTTCCTCAATTCTATGTCAAAACGTTCACTCATTCAAGCAAATCGGCTAAATGAGTGAATAACCGGGATTTGTACGTAAAATTCGGATTAATGAAAAAAAGCGAAAGAAAGACTGTGAATTTGCTATTTTAAATGAGATTGTGACTGAATCAGAGTGAACAAATTTTATCGATTGAAAGACACACATTTTTGTAGTGAAAGACTGTGCCAATCGATTCTCGTACATTATTTAAAAATCCACACATTTACGAGAGATATTCAAGTGCTAAACGCGAACATTGAACGTAAAAATAACAAACTAAAAAACATACACTATTTTATTTCATCCAAACGAGCCGTTGTTTATATCCATCCATTTATGCGACATCGCATTCTGCGTATACATTGACGTGGTATTTGTAGTACACGTGCAACTCAACGAAACTTGGGTACAGAATTTTGTTTCTACACTTTTTATTTCTATCTCTCTTTCTCCATTTTATTCATTCAATTAATTTTTTTTATATCAAATACGATTTTATTAGAAAAATGCGCTTTTTTCCGTTCCGTTACCTGTGCAAGTTATTCAGTGAATTAGAAAAAAAAACTGTTGTTGTTGTTTTTGTCGATGGAATATTCTAGCGGAAACTCATAGCATTTAAATGTTCGTGATTGCAATTAATGAGTGAACAGAGGCAATTCCATTGCATTTAAATAATAAACAAGTAATTAATTGTGCTTTGGGAAAATTACACCCGATCAGCATCTTGCGTTTTGCCAATTCCCACGAATCGTTGAACACAATTGGCAAAACGGCCGCCAATTGTGTATGACATGCAAAATCGGAAACGATTCCCTCGGTGTTGAGGCATACGCCGACTTAAATTGTGCCAAATGTAACTAATCATTCAAAAATAAGTGTAATCAAATGCTCAAGTGACTCGTTCTCTCTCTCTCTCCCTCATGTGTGTTTAGAGAACGAGCACCGATTTTCATTGTTTTAGCCGTTGAACGGTACGTGTATGTCTAGTTGCAAATAAATCTATCCATAAACCATATGGGAGACAGATGGGCTGCGGCACACGGTCAAAGGTGTTCAAACTCCAATTGTATGTTTAGTGACGGGATTTTGGTTGGCTTCTTTTAGACAATGACTTGCGATTACTTGGCTGAGAGAAAAAAAGAAGACAAAAAAAACGGTGCAAAAAACTCTTTCAAAGGACAGAAATTAATGAAAGACTTTTGCTGAGTTGTCGTCGTCGTTAGCGACTGTTTTCTGTCGATTGTAAAACTGGTCACCAATCGAAATGAACCGAATTTTTTTTTGTTCCCGATGCGAATAGAAATGAAAACAAAAAAATCGGCAAAACGCGCTCGGTGTCAATGATCAGTTTTCAGCAGTCGATTAGACTTTGACCCATCGCAGAAAATACTATACGCTTTTGAGAATGAAAGATGAAGAACAAACAAAACTGGATGTTGCCAAGAATGAACTGAAATGCCGTTGAAATGGTATTAGATTTGATAAGAGAAGATAACACATAAAACGATAGACAGCAACCAAATACCGTCAAAAAATTAGACTTTGACCAGCCAAAGAGAAAAGTCAATTAACATTTTAAAATTGTGAATTTGGCCATTTTCGAATCGGTTCGCCGTTTTTTTGTCGTATTGAATATTTTGATTATGATATGGCTGTTTTTGTTGTTGTAGTTGCTGCTGTTGTCGTTGCCGTTGCCGTTGCCGTTGTGCGAATATGAATTCGCGCGCTCTCTTCAATGCGCCCGCAAAATCGTCTCTATGTGTATGTGAATTTAACGTTTCGCTTGCATTGATTCGTCGACCTTTGGACTTGTTTTGCAATCAACTGCTCTCCGTTCATAAAAAAACATATGTATATATGACAGAAAATGTGTGTATGTTTTATATACTACGTAACCGAAAAAAACAGCTTGGCGTCGTCGGCCTTCTCTCTCTCGCTCTCTCGATATAACTCTCGAGTGTTGAATCGATTTTTATCTACTTGTGATTGGTATTTTTTTTTTGTTCATGGATGTCTGCATCCAAGTTTCCGTATCTGTGTGCCGTTACCTCGACGCGCTATGATCCACCATAATTGATTTCAATGCGAAACAACAATATACGTGACCACTTGCATCGAACCAATTCGTTTTTTTTTTCACTATTCACCTCTCTCGCTTTGGATGATATTCTAATAATTTTTTATCATAATCACCTTCATCATCGTCAAAGAGTGTGTCATTGTGAAATCAACTCGATTATTTACTTCTCTCTTTCTCTCTCTATCTCTCTATTATTGTTATTATTTACGCTTCTTGTTGTCACACTTTTATTATCCGTATTAAACTGCCATTTACTTGTACAATAAAAAGTCATAAAATTGCCTTTTTTGTTGTCGAGTTACGTTGGTAGTTACGCGAACACTTGTTTAGGGCTCGCTCAATCTCACCGTCGTCATCGTTGTGAATGGAAAATATCCAGGTCGAAATAAAAAAGAAAACATTGTTGTTTTCAAAACAATCACACGCGTGTAAAGAACAGCTATAAATGGGTTTTAATGGATTCATGCATTAGCTATTTATTTGATTGAAAAGTACTCGGATATCGATTCAAGACACTTTTCCGATTCTAGCGGTCGAGTCGATACAAATGTAGCGTACCATTCCAATGGACAAATATGAAAATTTGTTTATCCATCAAAACGTTTTATCCAGCCATTGCAAGGCAAGAGCCTCACATTTTCTTCCACATCAGTCAACAATGACGCAAACAAAACACACAACCTTTTTGAAATCCAAATTTACATGCAAACTCCAGTCAACAACTGAACAATGTATGATAAATGTTTTGAAAATGAATCTTGAATGAAGATTCCAGAATAGAAAGTAACAACAATCAACAACAGGTGTTTAAATCATGGCTGTTTCCCACTAGTTATCTTTTCAGCTAGAGAATTTTCAGGAATAAAGTTCAAGTAAAATAATGGAAAATTACCACTAATAAAAATGAAGCATATTTTTGGGTTTTATTTGAATTTTCCATCATTTTTACACAAATCTGAACTTGAATAATGAATTTCAACCAGCATTTGTTGACATATTTATAAAATTTATGACAATTCTACAGGGAAAATCGGTTTAACATCGAAATTTGATTAAGAATATGGGAAGTTTCATAAAACAGGATGAAAATATTGCTCAAAATTGAATCAATCGTCGTTAATTCAACTTCAATCAATCGTCATAAAAAAATACTCAAATTTGAGCTTCATTCGAATTCAAAAGTGAAAATTCAACGTGTCTTTTCAGCAAAGTATTCTGAATGTTGTGCAGGGACTTTTTTATCGGGAGCGGAGTGGTGCAATGCACCAGAGCGCAAACGATTTGAGGGCGCACGAGAGCGTTGAAGGCGCTCGAGCGCCATATGAATTTTTTTCAGTTTTTCAAAGTTCAAATCGAACGAGAGAAGTAAAGGTGCGCGCTTCTGGCGCTCGGGCACTTCGGCGCTTTTGTTCGATTTGAATTATGAATCACTAAAAAATAGTTCCGTGTTTGTGGGCCCCCAAAAAGAAATCCGAACAGAAAGATATATTATAATAAGCCTGTTAATTGAAAAATAGCATTCAAGAATAGAAAACACCAAAAAAATTTACCACAGATTTTTTTATGGAATCTGGGAAAAATTTCGCATGATCTTCGAAAATTGTATCTTTCAAAGAATCATGTCTGGCTGCCCTATTGTTTCAGTTAAGGGCGCTAGGAAATTTTTGCACCAGGGCGTGAGCGGAGCAAAAAAGTCACTGATGTTGTTTTAATTCAAGTTCTGTCGCGGAAACGTATACTTTCTCTTCGGCAGGTTGTTGATTCAAAATTGGTGTGATTTCATCAGCTGTTGTTGTTTCTCTTCGAGAAAATCGATCTGGTTTCGTAATGACACACGGGACAAGTTTGTTGAGAGAGAGAGAGAGAGAGAGAGAGAGAGAGAGAAAAGCATCTAAGATACTCTATATGGTTGAATGAAAATGAGCCGCATAAATATAGTGTTTAGTTTGGAGTTTATTCGGTTTACTTTTTTTGCCTAATCATAACCTATTGATTTGCAATTTAAATTGATTGTGTGTGCGCGCGTGCTCCCATAGCCAGAATATCGATCGACTGACGTCAGTTGAAACAGATAGATAGAAACTGATTAGAATTATAAATCAGACAAAGTGGGTTTTTTCTTGCGGTTGTTTTTATTCTAGTGGTTTCGATTTGCTCAAAAGCCGGCTAAGTAAAATTGTATCTCGTGAATGGTGCAATAAATCATCATAGTGAATCACGAAACTATCTTTTTGTGTGCATATTTTCTGTTACAGTTCTTCTTCATTCGTTGAAAGTTTATTGTTCTACTTATATGATCAAATAGCCCTGAATAATAAAATAGGCCTTATCGCAACGTAGTAACTATTTATATATCAAAACTGATAAAGCAAATTGGTTTAGTTTTCGGTTAGTGTGCTTGTCGATTTGATCAAAACGGAAGCCAAGTGTAGCATTATGTAATGCAATTTTTACGTTTCAGTTTTGTCGAACGTGTGTGAACGTCACATAATCTCTTTATTTACAGTGAAATCGTCACTCCTCAAAAGTAACTTGTTTACTGTCACCAATTTGTTTCTTGTCGTTGTTGCCATTGTTTTGATCTCTCTTTCTCTCACTCTCACTTGGAATTCCGTCTTTTCGTAATAATTGTTGATTTTTATTTTAAGCCCGCGTAGAAAAAGAAGCCCAACAAGAATTTGCGATCATATGATTGATTGTTTCTTCATTTGTATGGAGCAAAGTGCTCTATTTCTCCTAACAATCATTCCTAATGAATGACCATAAACTTTAATCAACGATTTGCTCGTAATTTGCTCTCTCGAGCTGTGTGAAATAAACTTTGTAACGCTGCTTATTGCGTTTCATTCGTTTTGATTGCACATGAGACTGTGTTTTGCCTTCGTGTGATACAAGTGCGTCAACAAATCGTTGTCTAGTACCGTGTACTGATGATTTGCTCTGGTTGCTTTTTTGACTGAACTTCGGATTGTTATATAACCGTATTTAATGATTGTTTGCGATGTTTAGCCGTTTTATCTCGTGATTGTGAGCTCTATTTTCGACCGAAATTGTGGATGTATGAATGAATAATGTCTCTTTTTTCTGGTCATACTTGTCCAACACCATCAGACACACGATTGTTATCGCTTGCACGCGATCCCAAACGAAAAACATTCATATTGGTCAACTCGCGTGAACTTGCGATAGCCAGACTGATTAGTCAGTCGCATTTTTTCACTAGTCCAACAAACTTTGGTTCAGTTTTTTTTTGTTACAGGGGTCGATTCGGAAGTGAACAATTTGGTAACACCGAAAAAGTTTGTTCTTATCGTACCGAAGCTCAAATAATTTCGAAGGTTAAAACTGGTTTTGAGCTTCTTAAAATAACCATTAACACGGTCTATTTTTAGACAAAGCAACGCAACAAATCCCTCTTATGGAAAAATTGCACCGTGTATTTTGATTTATAAAGGTCATTTTTACGATCAAACTCCACTTGAACGGTTTGTTTTTGATTGTTCTCGCTGCTCATTCTCACAGCACACTATTCCATTCGAAACAGGAAAAATACAACGAAAATTTTACGCACTACACGGCTTATCTGGTGTGGTCGAATGTTGTTCTAGTCGACAATGATAAGTTTCAAATGCATAAAAATACCTTTTGAAATACAAACAAAAACAAACTGCAGCTGATTCCATTCGATTCGAATTCAATCGCAATTGTTGCTGTTCTTGTTTCATTTGCACTTTGGTTACGCTATAAAGCGACTGTCTATTTACTAGGCATTGCGGAACTAAATCGAAACTGCGCAAAACATGCGGTATTTTTTTGTTTTCAACACCCATTTCACGGCTACCCTTTGATCGATTGTATTTTCTAATCATGTTTCTAGTGCCCCAAAGCGTCGAACGCCATGAAAAGTGATGAAATCACCATTTTTTACACTCGATTTATTGGCGAACGAACAAACGATGAACTGAAAGTATAGGCAATATCGTATTTCGAATAATTTGCCGGGCAATTGGGCATTTGGTATTTGGGTTCTTTGGAAAATTCTTTGAAAAATTGTAAAACATTGTTCTCAATGAAAGAATGGAAAATTTGCACTTCAGAATTTTCAAAATTCAAAAAATGTTGTAAGACATTTTTGTGAAGAATCATTGCTGAAGAGCCTACGGACTTTCAACAGATAATTTTACTTATCCTTAGAAATATTTGTCTGCCCTTTCGGAATCATTTTTAATTTTGCTTTCAATGCCATTATAAAACCACTCTTCGAGATGACAATCGAGATCTCGTTGAGATCGTACAAAATAATTCATCTCGTTTCCATAAGTCTCATTATTTTGTCTAAGTGAAAAAAAAGTACTGGTGACACACTTTCGGAAATTGGGACCCAATGTAACATTGACGTCAAATCATGCGAAAATGATAACAAATAGAGGTGTGGAGCCTTGAAATGTGTTACAAATCTCAATGGAAAAAAAATCAACATACAGAAAACCTTAACGATTTTTGATATTTTTCTGACGCAGTTTTACTATCTTTGAAAATATAATCAAAGGTGTCTCTTTTTACACATTGAATCGAGTTAAAATCGGCAATCAACATTAAAGAAATGAAGAACTTAAACAGAGTTGTGCAATAAATTTTTTTTTTTTTCATTCTAAAGTGTTCCTAAGATCAATTTATTTCAAATCTATTTTCAAGAATAAAGTTGATTCAATCAATCAATCACGTCATAGAAAAACAAACTTTAGTGTTGTGTACTAATTGTTGATGTTTTCAAATTTGGGAAATTCACGTGAATATAATCTAAATCATGGAATAATTTTATCAATTACACACCTCTTGTCTAATCTTATAACGAGCCCTTGCGCTTTTCGATTGACGGTGAACTTTGTGTTGGACGTTATCAGTCTCGCCATTGAAGAATGTAAAGAAAAAAAGCGTCAAAACAAGAACAAAGTAGTTTTCCCTATCTCAACAAATTAAGTGGCTGTATTAAATCAAATAAAATTGTTGATTTATATCGAAAAATGAGCCTATGTTTTTTTCTATGATGGCCTTATTTTCAATTATATGGTTCGAAATTGAGCGTCTACTGGGCCAGAGTGCCATGAGTTTCATCCCAAATGGTATAAAATTAGACAGTCATAAACTGGTTTTTTGTTTGAATTGTAAACAGAATTGTGCACGGCACCAACGTCCAACATTCCAAATTAGTCTCGAAAACAACGGTCATAAGCGTGCACTCACTTGCACACATACACACGCGCTCAACAATGTGTGCTAATGTGTGCCACACTTGAAAATTGCATTCGTAACAGAAATGTGCCCCCACCAGCCAAACAACCAGCGATCAACAAAAACAACAACGACGATGGCGTCAACGATGAAACAATAATATCGGCTTACGTCGACAGGTTGCTCAAGCTGGCTCAACCTTTTGTACTTGCTTTTGATTTTAGCGCGACACATTATTGTAATTACTAATCGGTTTCTCATTATTATTTTCTCTACTAGTTTTGTTTTTTGTTGATGTTTTTTTTTCGTTGTTGTTGTTGTTGTGTGCGTTTGTGTTCACATTGATTGAACATTGAATTGACGCTGTAAGCTTTTTTGTTGTTGTGGTTGTTGTTATAAATTAATTTGGCGATTGCTTACTTAATCGGCAGCTTGATGAATTGAAAGGTGCTTCCAATTCAATGACAAACACAATATACGCGGCTTTTTTCCCCATGTTCATGGCTTTTCCGGAACCAAACAACTCAGTTGGTGCGTAGTTTTGGACGAATAATTCGGCAATTTGACTTATGACTCGAATATGTTTGTTTTTCGGACAAAATACCTTCAAAATATTGAAATTTTGATTTGAATTCAATGCAATTCGAGACTTTTTCAAGGATTTCTCTTTCTCTTTATTGTGAAGACGCAATACAAAACGATCAAATTCCGGATTAAAAAGTTCAAAAAGGTCTGATTGATTTAAAAGTATTTGGAATATACTGCCTTTTGGCTTCTGAAATGTGTTGCCAATCATAATTTCATCCAAAAATGTTAAGCTTTTTTTTGTAAGGAGTCGAAAATCTTCGAAAATGATTCTATCTACCGAGAATTTAACTAACTGAACCCAAATAGTCGTATTAAAACAAACTGAATGGTCGTTGAATGAATGAACAAAAACTCGAATCATACAAAATGCAATTCCGAAAACCAGTTTTAGCTCGGTGCTCGGACTTTGTATCGTCCAATCGATTGTTCTAAAAAGATAGACAGAATGAATCGTAGAAAGTCATTGTTCTCGATGAGTCGCCGTTGGAATTTTTGTCTAATCAAGTCTATAATTTGATTCATCGTTAATCCGCTGGTTGTTCGAACAAAAAACCGTCGTAATTGAATGTCGAAATTTGTCGGCGAAGCACGTCAATTTGGCGCGAGTGTGCTTATGTGAATGCACACACAGTAACGCATTATTGAAGAAAAAAACGAGTTTTCTATCAAAACATCACAATAAAATTATAAAGTTTGCGAATGCAATTTTTTTTCGTTGGTTTCTGTTCATAGCATATAGAAAATATCAAGACAAAACAGCCAACAGCGCACAAAAACCGAAAGTCAAACAATGTTAAACTGCACTTAATGGAGCGAAAAAATATGCAATTTCGTAAAAAAAATATGGTTCTTTATTTACTATGTAATTTTTCTTCTTCTTCTTCTTCTTCTTCTTCTTCTTCTTCTTCTTCTTCTTTATGTTTGTGTGTCTTTAAAGGTCAAGAATATTATTCATTTTTTTATTCGCAAAACTCATTCTTTTCTTTCCTGTTCTTTTTTCTTCTTCTTTAATTCATTTTCGGTCAACAGCTTCAATTGACATTGAACGCGCGTATCCAGTCACTAAACGGATTGTCATTTTGGAAATCGCGTTGCCATTTGGTTTCGATTTTTTCTTTCTTCGGTTTTAAATCCAGTTTCGTCAGAACAAAGGCAGAAATCATTTTGACCGGTGTTGAACGGAACAACGTTGTAAATGGCTGAAGCACATCAAGCTGTTGCATTCTCATTTTCAATCACACACGAAGGATGGGACATCAATTACGACCGAGAGGTTCTTAATCTCGTCTGGGATTCGGGCATTCGATCATGGAAAAAACGCATCGGACGTCTTAGAGTAAGTGTGGAATTGAATTTTAAAAAAATGAAAAATCATTGAATTGATCACTTTTGATAGAAATGATTGGGTAAACTTTTAGATTTTTACATTGGTTTAATATCCCAAAAATAATTGTTTTTTGATAAAAAATGTGATGACAAATCGACTATTTATTCTTGAAATAGTTCTTGATTTCTTTTCAAAACTTTCACTTCGAAATTCGTTGCAGTAATGATTCTCTATTAAATTTGAATCACTTCCCATCAATAGTTTTGAAAACAATACATATAAGAGAAGTTAAAAAATTTAATATTCTAAATCGATTTCATTTCAATTACAGAATAGCATTCGTAATGGAGCATATCCAGCGCATTTGCAAAGCTTATGGATTATTATATCGATAGCAGTGGCCTTACATTTCTCTGGGAAAAAAACACCATTTGATTTGGCAAATCGAATTCTGCCATGGCTTCCGGGGTATGATCTAATTTCAATTTTAAACATGCTTTCTTTCCGAATAATTCCATTCATTTTCTCTGAAAAATGAATTTTTTTGCAAGTCTCTTAAAATATTTGAAATTGGCTATGACATTTGATTTTTTCCCTATTTCATGGCAATTTTTGTATCGTTCAATCAAAGTTGAGACTTGAAAAAAATGGTTATTTCTTTTGCAAAAAGGACTTTTCCGCCAAATTACCTATAAAAAAAATTTTAATATGAAAAAATCCTCTCTTATTTTCACAGAGATTCAATTTTATGGCATGTGGTGGCATGTTCGTTGACCGGACTCTTGTTTTGGCTATGTATTTGTTTCACAATGCGTTACACGTTGAAACTGTTGCTGATGTACAAAGGCTGGATGTATGAATCGCGTGAAAAGGGTCGCCAAGTATCGACGCGAACCCGTTTGTGGGCGGCTGCCACTAAAGTCCTCTCAAGTTGGAACAATCCCGGATTGTACAGTTTCCAAGGATCACTTCCGAGATTGCCACTACCAAGTGTGCATGAGACTTTGGAACGATACTTGGATTCAGTTCATCCGTTGCTCGATGAGGATAACTACAAGCGTATGGAAGAATTAGCCAAAGATTTTGAACGAACAATTGGCCCAAAGTTGCAACGCTATCTCACCCTCAAAAGCTGGTGGTCAACTAACTACGTATCTGATTGGTGGGAAGAATACGTTTACTTGCGTGGCCGTTCTCCATTGATGGTGAACAGCAACTTTTATGGCATTGACGCTTTGTTCTTATCCAACACAAATGTTCAAAGTGCTCGCGCTGCTGTTGCCGTCAATTTGTTGTTGAGATTCCGACGCTTGGTCGATCGTCAGGAATTGAAACCGATTATGGTGCAAGGACTGGTACCATTGTGTTCATGGCAATACGAACGAATCTTTAACACTGTTCGCATTCCAGGCATTGAAACCGACCGAATTATTCATTACCAAGACTCAAATCATATTGTTGTTATGCATAAGGGAAGATACTATAAAGTCACGATTTACTATAAGGGACGCATCCTAAAGGCACCGGAAATTCAAGCGTAAGTTGAAAGAGCACATTTCATCAATAAATTTTGATTTTATTTGCTTATTTTTGGAATGGTGTGGAATCCACACTGTGGATTTCAATTTATCCATACAAAAATTTAAATTAGATATCGAAATTAAAACTGAGATGCATTAAGCAGATTTATTTAACCGCAAAATGTTGCGCTTGGAATCGTAAATCAATTTTTAAAAAAATTATTAATAAAAAAAAATAATTTTTATATCCGTTACAGGCAATTGGAAGAAATTCTGAACTCAAAATCCGAACCATTGCCAGGTGAGGAGTTGTTGGCATCGTTGACCGCATGGAATCGAACAAAGTGGGCTGAAATTCGAAATACGTTATTCAACAAAGGAATCAATCGTGTCTCATTGCACACAATTGAAACGGCTGCATTCATTTTATCATTGGACGATGAATCCTATGACACGGACATTCACAAGGAAGGCGCCTTAGATCATTTTGGCAAGTCATTGCTCCATGGAAACGGCCACAACAGATGGTTTGATAAGAATTTCACACTATGCGTCGGTACAAACGGTCGTCTTGGATTTAACGCTGAACACACTTGGTAAGATACTCCTCTTTTTTTCGGTCTATTTAAATTCATTATCTTCGATTTATTTTTAAAAAATTGATCGATATGAATAACAAAATTTAACGAAAAAAAACTTCTTCGTTTTCTAGGGCTGATGCTGCTGTGATGGCTCACATTTGGGAAAACAATATAATGGACGAAGTTATTGAACATCCATACGATGACGATGGCAACTGCAAAGGACCAATTGATTTCCAACCACCTTCGCCTCAACGTATGTCTTGGGATTTGAACAACGATGCCTGCCTCACCGCAATCAACACATCCCATGAAGATGCACAGAAATTGTTGAACGACTTACAGCTCCGGATTTACGTGCACGACCACTACGGAAAGGGTTTCATGAAGACATGCCGCGTATCACCTGATGCTTATATACAAATGGCTCTTCAATTGGCCTACTATCGAGACGCAGGACGTTTTTCTCTCACATATGAAGCATCGATGACACGTTTGTTCCGAGAAGGTCGCACTGAAACCGTTCGACCGTGCACCATTGAATCAGCCGCATGGGTCAAATCAATGGCAGACGGCAAATCTACTGTAAGATGATTTTTACAATTTGAAAATTTAACTGCATCACAAAAATGATAAACAAGATCTGAGACTTTTTTGCAAATATTCAAAAACCATTTTTTTCCTTGAAAAAAGTTTGAAAAAATCGGAAAAAAATCCGAAAAAATCTCTTGAAGGTATTTTAATATTTTTCATTAACATTTTTCATTGATGAATCAAAAAATAAAAAATATTTGATTAAGATCGGTCGACTTGAATTCAAACGGAATTTGCCCTGGATTTCTTAACTAAATTTTTTTTTTTCAAATTTTTCTCTTCGACACTAGACTGAGCAACGAGTCGAATTGCTACTAAAAGCTTGCCAACGACACCAAAAAGGTTACCAAGATGCCATGTGTGGCAAAGGAATCGATCGACACTTGTTCTGTTTGTACGTCGTATCAAAATATTTAGAAGTAGATTCGCCATTTTTGAAAGAAGTTCTCAGCGAACCATGGCGATTGTCAACTAGTCAAACGCCGCACGGCCAAACCAGCAAAATGGATTTGCACAAACATCCGGAGTGTATCAGTGCTGGTGGTAAGTGACCAATTGCTTCAGAATTAAATTCGAATTAAAGAAATTGATTTTTTTCAATTTTCTTCAAATTAAAAATTTAAAGTAAGGCTGAATTTTAATACGTCCATATTATTCTGTTCAAAGGTGGTTTCGGTCCAGTTGCTGACGACGGCTATGGTGTTTCATACATTATTGCCGGTGAAGATCTGATATTTTTCCACATATCATCAAAGGCCAGCTGTGCGACTACGGTAAGAATTATTTTCCCATTGGAAATTCAATCAAATCATTAATTGATTTCATGTGCTGAAAACTGAACAAAAATCAATTTCTGATCATTAATTGATGTTTTTAGATTTTTTTAAATTCCAAAATTGTGCGAAATGCGTGTAGAAATTATTTTTTTAAATTTTAGTTACATTTTAAATTTTTTATCTTCTATTTTGAAGTTTATTCAAAGTTAAATTTGTAAACAAATCTTCCATTTTAATTTCAGGACGCTGTAAAATTCTCTAGGGAAATCGAACGAACATTGGCTGATATGAAAAATCTCTTTGAAGAATATCAATGCCTTAAGAAATTGGCAAACGGTTCGTCGAAATAGGCAGCAGCTGCAATCATATCGATAGTGGTTTAGTGCAAAGGGAGTAATTTTAGGCGAAAACAATTCAAGAACAAATATGAAATCAGTCATCAGTTAACAAAGTCTAAGAGATAGCGGATGAAAAAAAATGCCCTAATTTTTTTTCTCTCTCTCAAGATCAAATGACCGAGTATTATCGCTCCTGAGATAAAGACAGTTCTGAGTCTTTGTGTATTTGTTTTTTTCGAATTTTTTTCTGAATCAATTTTTGTTTTTGTATGAAGATATGTTTTGCAACTAAGTGTACCTTCACCAACTTTCGTTATTTATGAATCAACGGACGAACTAAAAGACGATATTTTCTTAAATGTCTGTGGAATAGCTCATTATTTTAGATAGGACTGAGACCAATTGAAAATTATGAACATAGTATGAATGTTGTGAATAAATTGTTTGATTCAAGATACAAATCGGTTTAGTGCTCGTATGATAAATGATTTTTTTTTTCTCTCTTCAATTCGAAGATCACACCACTTCACACATATTGGACAATTGTTAAACGTAATTTTATAAAATTTTAAACCCTTTCTTGTTTAGCAGTAAGTTGATATAAGCAAATCCAATTGATAAAATAAAATAAAATAAATAGAATATTGTTTGTTTTCTTTTTATGAATGTATCAAGTTTAGTTTTATTTTTAATCATTTTAATGAATTTGATATATAGTCATTGATGAATTTACGAAGTAGCTATCTTAGCTGATTTATTTGAAATTTCTCGCTTTTAATCGATTCATCCAACACAAGTTCCATTCAGCGGTATTGATAAGGAGTAGATTTTGAATAAAAATTCAGAATAAGACGTGAACATCGAATATGTGACCGGTCATCGAAGTGTTATTATTTTATTGGAATAATAATTGATCATTGATTATGGTGAGTGTTTAGTTTTTTTAACCGTTTCAGAAAAAAATCGCCACTGTAAAGGGAACCGGTAGATTTCATGGAAATTTCACATAGCTCCAAAATGATTTCTATGAATGGATATGCATTTGTTTACTTCCACAATGATTTGTCAGTTTCTTTTCCATTACCTACCTCATTTGTTATTGTTTTGAGATTTTGTGTCTGAAACTCTACTATTTCTTAAGAACTTCTAATTTTATATAATACGTAAGCTATAGTCGTGACAGTCGTAGCTGTTGCATAACTTGCGGCGCTTAGAAAATCATCAAAAGCTTTTTGGTTGCTCAACACAGAAGTCCATGTTCAAAGGAGCAATTAATAGGTTAACCAGTTTTTCCGAGTTGGACAATTTCCAACATATATTGCAAAGTGATCTCGAAGTGCTTGTAATCAGGTCAAATCCTGAGAATCCGTGAATCAGTCGAAATTCTACTGGATTTGTATTTTACACCATCAAACCAGTCGGGTGTTAACACTCCCTTTGGGAGTGACACCATGGTCCATTTCGCCGATTTACCCAGCCGCTTTCGAGATATTTCCATGTGTACATTTTGCCATAGAAGCCAATGTATTATTTACAGCCGCGCTCCGAGGTTTTCATACAAACTTCTCATGTAGACGTCGCAACACAGACAAAAATGGAAGAAAAAGTTAAAAAAAAAAATCCGATTCTCAAACAGTATTTTTTGTGCTCAATCCATTGGTGTTATCGCCACATCGAAATTCGCGCTCCTTATCACTTAATTTGCATTATGTGATGAATGCGAGTGACGTCATCAATAGCTCGGGAATCAATTGAAATGAAACACACGAAAAAATATTCGAGTAACGAAACAATGTGATATAGGTCTTTAATATTCTAATAATTATTAACATTAAAATATCGTTATTTTCGCGATATCGTTAATAACATAAAATATTATTAACGTAATGTTAATGTTAATAACAAATAATAACATTAATATCAACGTAAGTGTTAGTGTTAATAACTATTGTTATTAACGTAATATTAAAATATCAAAAAAAAGTTTCATACAAAAAACATGTCAATTTTCGCTAGACCTAAAAAATGTTGAAAAAATTGCGTCTGAAAAAAATCGACATGTTTTCTGTATGAAACTTTTTTTTGATATTTTAATATTACGTTAATGTTATTAGTTATTAACACTAACACTAAAGTAATAACATTTTTTGTTATTAATATTTTTAATAATATTAAATTAATGCGATATCGAAAAAAGTCAATCTATAATTTCGTGACCTAAGTGGCTAAAATGTACTCTAAATTGGCGAAAGTCGCCCTTTATTGACGATTATTTTTGGAAGAACTGTTCATACATTATTATAGGTTCTAACGAATTTATCAACATCCTAAGAAGGGCTGATCAAAAGTTGCCAAAGTTAATGGAACTTGATGTATAGAAAGCATCCAATATACAAGATTTTAATTGCCGCAAAAAAATCTTTTCATTTGCGTACTAAATGGATCTTAATTTTTTTTCGCACATAAGTCGTAAGTTCAAGGTTTCAATTCTTCTACGAATAAAACCAATAGAGTAAAAAATCTGCCGGTTCCTTAGCTAATTCACCTTACTTTCATAGCTAATTCACATTACTCCGAAATGATTTCTCTGAATGTATATTTGTTTTTTTATTATTTGTTTATTATTTTGAGTATTTGTGAGTAAAGAGAAGCTAAAAATCTTCTTGTGTATCAGTCGTAAATTAGTCGTGACCATAGCTATTGCATATCTTGTGACGTTTTGAGAACCATCGATAACACAGTACGACAATGTTTTTTTTCGTGTCCCTTTACAGGTGTAAAAATAGGACTCAAATCATGACGAACTGCATCATTACTTTTTAAAAGTTAGCTCGTTTAAGCGTTTAATTGCAATCGGCGTTTTCAGTGTACAGCTCATTGCTAAAATTCATTTTTATGATATTTACTCGTGTTTCTGAGGGGTTTAGGTATATGATTACTTCTACAAAAATGTTTAGCGGACAATTTTAGGCGGAAACTAGTGAAAACTATACCCAAAAACTACATCTGGTTGGGGCAAAATGTCGAAAAAATAGTCAATTTGTCACTGTGTTCGGCAATATTGTAGCCAGAGTATAGCTGAGCAACACTTTTGAAAACATCAACTCGAAAAATCCACATCCAGTCCACTTTATCGTCTCAAAATCACTTTTCGCTATAAAACGGTATTTTCGTGCATTTTCGAAGTCGTGAAACTTCTCAACTGCTTAAAATAGAGCGATAGTGTCTGAAGAAACTTTTTAGTAATCCTCAAGAGCTTTGCAGGCCAAGTGCTAAAAGTGCTAAAAATGTGCTAAAAATGTTCTAAAAATGTACTAAAAAGTACTAAATTGTTAGTGTAAAACACTTTGGATGGCTCCGGGCAACTCTGGGTGATGGAAAACTCTACCAACTCGTGTTAAAAACTCTGTTTTGGACCGTATTAAACATTTGTGACCGGTAATTAGTTGAAAAATTGAAGTTTTAATCGAAAAATGACCAGTGTAACCTATGAAATTGTAACATCTATAAACCATAACCTTTTCGATTCAAACTTCATAGCTCCAACCAGATGTAGTTTTTGGGTATAGTTTTCACTAGTTTCCGCCTAAAATTGTCCGCTAAACATTTTTGTAGAAGTAATCATACACCTAAACTCCTCAGAAACACGAGTAAATGGCATAAAATTGAATTTTAGCAATGAGCTGTACACTGAAAACGCCGATTGCAATTAAACGGTTAAACGAGCTAACTTTCAAAAAGTAATGATGCAGTTCGTCATGATTTGAGGCCTATTTTTACACCTGTAAAGGGCTCGCCAGGGACACGACAAAAAACATTGTCGTACTGTGTAACTTTCCAGCTGCTAAGCAAAACGTTCATGTTCACAGAATCAATTAATAAGCAAAGATGTTTGCCTTCAAGATTATTGTCTATTCGGGTAAAGTGCTACGAAGCCAAGGGTTAGTAAAATTCGGCTGGCATGTGTTTGTATTTATTTTTCTGCAGCAATTAAACAATCCTACAAAGTGCAATCAACTGATAGTATACTCAAAAAAACAATTTCGAAGTGATTTCAAGACATTCGCCGTTGCTATTAAACAAATTCTAATTATCGTTTCTCTTAAAAACGTTTCATTTTTTCTAAATTATATTGGATTTTCGTTTTCCATAGCTTCTGTCGGAATATTTTCATTTCCAAAAATTACGTTTTGTAGTAGGTAGTACCTTCGTTTGATCTTTAGCTTCAAACCAGTTTTTGTGCACACGTTGATATTTTGTTTGTGTGCTTTTTTTTAAATTTAAATCACTACCATAAATATTAACGAAATTACTTTGTTATTCGCTAAATTTATTTTATTATGAAAAAAATCAACATATCCCCAACGTTATTGTCCATTCATTAATGGATTAATTCTTGGAACATAGGTGCTGTGTTGATTAAATAACAACAAGAAGTAACCAGACATCCGAAATGCAGGGAAATATGTTTAATTGTATCAGCCTATGATATGAGTTGCCAATATGGAGTTCGATGTCAAAAGAATAGGTCAAAATGCAACGGCTGAATTATTTTTTTTATCAAATGTCAAAAGCAAAATTGCAATGGAACGAAAAGAAAAACAATAATTTGGCCAATGGCTCAATTACGAATGCATGTTATGTATTTATGCAGAATGGACATTGTTTTTGAGTTTGATAAACCAGACATACACTGCAAAGCGATCTCAATGACCGATAAATATTATAAATAGCATTTACGCGTACACTTTAAAATTCTTCCATTCAATTGGTATCTTAGAATGGGTTCCATCGAAATTGATGGGATTTAGAAAAATTATATGCACAATTTCGAATGAAAAATTTCACATGTCAAACAAAAATGGTTTTCTTTCTGAAGCAAGAAATGTAATGTCGCTAAATGCAATTGAAATGAAATGCGTTAGAATTTCGAGACCTTGCATAAGCTACCGGAATCAAACGATGATGTTTTATTCGTGCATTTTCGCTGTTTTCTTTATGATTATGTTTTTGTTAATGATTTCCTTTCTTTTTCGATGTTCCGTCGTTCGTCTATCCATCAATATTCATGACAATTTTTATTTTTGCCACTTTATACGTTCGAGTTAATGATATGTAAATAGAAAACATTTGAAAACGGTAAATTAGAAAAGACCATTCCACAGAAAAAATGCGTGCGATTATAAAAGAAAGCGATGCACATGAATTCAATATCACTGTTTCTTTTGCCGTGTTCCACGAAACGTGCAAGTTCAATTTTGTTTTATTTTTGTTTCGTTGGTGATCCTTGTCGATTGTACGTTTTCGTTTAAAGTGGTCGATTTTATACAAGCAGTTGCAATCGAACAACTGATAGGGAAAGTTCGTTTTTGAAACTTCATTGGATATTTATTCAAAAGACCAAAGGACTTGATTGTGTGCGAAACATAATTGACATTATTAAAAGCCTTAACATCATCAAGTGTTATTTCAAACAGTGAATTTGCCAAGCGTTTAAAGGAAATAATTTGAAAGAAAAACAAAGACTAGATTTGTATTTGGTTTTTTACCGTTAAATTCTTCATTTTGATTTGATAACTCGTACGAACCGAAATAGTAAAGATGCCACCAATTCCAAAAGCACCACCAAGCATGCACGACCCAAAATTATTGTCGCGTACGCATGCGTCTACACCTGAAGATGACATCGTAATTACTGGAGTAGCGGGACAATTCCCGAATTCAAAAAATGTCGAAGAATATGCGTATAATTTGTACAACAAAGTAAGCAATTGAAACTAGTCATATATTCGCAGAAATGTTCATGGATAAAAACATGGACCAATTTTTAAACAATTTTGTCAAATTTCACAGAACACAAATTTGAATTGAACTCGCTAAAAAACCATTTAAATTTCAGATTGATATGGTTGACGATGAGGAAATTCGTTGGCGTCATTTTAACGTTGAAATTCCCAAGCGAATGGGCAAAATCTCCGGATTGGAGAAATTTGACGCCACCTTCTTTGGTGTTCATTTCAAGCAAGCCCATACTATGGACCCACAATGCCGTTTGCTCATCGAACGAGCATACGAAGCGGTCATGGATGCTGGAATCAATCCGAAATCGTTGCGTGGCTCCCGCACCGGTGTTTTTGTTGGGGCATGCTTTTCAGAATCGGAAAAAACCTGGTTTTATGAGAAAATTTCAAGTAGTGGCTTTGGTATTACGGGGTACATAATTGCACATTCTTATAACATTGGAATTGTCTTTTAGTTTGAATGTTTTGATGTGATCATTTTTTTTCTCGTTGAATTCAAATATACAGATGTAGTCGTGCTATGTTAGCAAATCGTATCTCATACTCGTTGGGCTTAACTGGACCATCATACTTATTGGATACAGCCTGCTCTAGTTCGATGTATGCATTGGACTGTGCGTTCAGTGCCATTCGGAATGGCGAATGTGATGCAGCTTTGGTCGGTGGTGCGAATCTAATTCTACATCCTTATGTTACGCTACAATTTGCAAGGTAAACTACAATTTGCTTGAATAAATATAAATGATTTCGTTCCAATACACGTTGGAAATGAAATGTTATGATCAGTGCCGGATGTGGAATTTGTTAAAAAAGCAGTGCCACCCTGTGCAAATCATCCCTTTACCATCCCAATGTATTGAATTTGCCGATAATAAATGGAAACAATTCGAATTTCAATCATTTTTTTTCAAATTTTTTTATACATACCTGACAACAAATTGTAAAAGAGTAATTGCTATTGATTGAAACAATCTTTTTAGATTGGGTGTGCTCGCACCAAACGGTTATTGTCGACCATTTGATGTCGATGCAACGGGATATACACGTTCGGAAGCCGTTTGTGTCATTTTCTTGCAAAAAGCCAAAGATGCAAAACGAATCTATTCAACGGTTTTATACTCGAAAACCAATTGCGATGGTAAGTTCAAATCAATTCAATTTTTTTTAAAACTTTTTCGTTCGATGAATATCAACACTTTGAATTTTATATTTCTGCTGGATTGAAAGTTATTAAAGGTTGCATAGAACCGGCTGAGTTTCTATGCTCGATATATTCTCGCATATACTGCGCCGGAACTATAACAAATTCCGGGAGAATCGATCGGAATTTGAAACGAGCATTTGAACCGGCGCTACAAAAAGTTGGCTTCGAAATATTTTGGTTTTAAAGTATAACATAAATATTCCTAAGCGAAATTTTTGTTGGACGAGTCCAATTGTATTTTGAATTTTTGGTTCAAATTACAATAACATGATTAGAGAATCATTGAATTAGTGCTAATCAAAATCCAAAATCTGATTGATTGTTTGCAATTGTGCCATAGAATTCAATGAACAGAAATAAATGACGATGATTCTCTTGAAAAATCCCCCTCTAATAACATTCATTAAAAATAAATTAATTCAAGTTTTCTTTCGATATTTCAAATTGCGATGTGTTTCAGGTTACAAACAGGAGGGTATTACATATCCATCGGGAGCTATGCAACAGAAACTGTTATCGGAATTTTACGATGAAGTTCAAATTGATCCATCAACATTGGCATATGTTGAAGCGCACAGCACTGGAACGGTGGTTGGTGATCCAGAAGAATGTCAGGCATTGGATAATATTTTCTGTAAAAATCGTAAGAAACCGTTGCCAGTTGGTTCAGTAAAATCGAACATCGGTCACTCGGAATCGACGGCGGGTGTATGCAGTATTGCAAAAGTGCTGTTGGCATTTGAAACCGGGTTGATTGCACCGAATATCAATTTTACAAGAATTCGCCCAGGCATCGCATCACTTGAAGAAGGACGTCTCAGTGTTTGCACCGATGTGACCAAATTGGAAGGAGATTTAATCGGTGTGAATGCATTCGGTTTCGGTGGAGCTAACGGTACGTGTGTTTTTACTTAAAACTAAAAACGAGTCCTGTGTATCAATTTGCATTCTGTTTCAGCTCACACATTGTTGCGTCGTCATTTGAAGGAGAAGAAAAATCACGGTGTTCCGGAGGATTCATTGCCTCGATTATTGACATGGTCGGGCCGAACGGAAGAATCAATCGATGTTGTTTTCGATCGACTGCAATCAAAGCCACTTGATAGCGAATACATTGGCTTGTTGCATAACATTCAAAGCGAAGAGATACCTGGTTACATTTTTCGTGGATACTGTTTGCTTCGGCCATCAGCTGATGGCAAAACTACCGATGTGGTTGCCAAGGAAATGCAACATTATAACGGATTGAAGCGTCCGGTTGTATGGGTGTTCAGCGGCATGGGAAGCCAGTGGAGTGAAATGGGATCATCGTTTTTGGAAATTCCAATGTTCAAAAATAGCATTGAACATTGTCACAAAGTTCTTAAGCCATATGGATTGGATTTGATTTCAATTATTACGGCAAACGATCCAACTATGTTTGATAATATTCTTCATTCGTTCGTTGGTATTGCAGCCATTCAAATTGCACTGTGTGACATTTTGAAGGCGCTCGACATTCCATCCGATTATTTTATCGGTCATTCGGTGGGAGAATTGGGGTGTGCCTATGCCGATGGATGCTTTACGGCTGAACAAATGATTTTGGCCGCATATTCACGCGGTATGGCCAGTTTGGAGACGAAGAAAATCCGAGGTTCGATGGCTGCGATTGGCATGAGTTTCAACCAAATTCGACAAAAGGTGCCCGATAACATTGACATCGCTTGTCATAATGGGCCAGATTCGTGTACCGTTTCCGGGCCAGAAGCTGAAATCGCTAAATTTGTCGCTGAACTCAAATCACAAGGCATTTTTGCCAAAGAGGTGAGAAAATGAACATTTAAAAACGTATTTTTTTGTATTTGATTTTTCTGTTTCCCGTGAAAGAAGGAATTTTTCGATTTTTTCCATCTTTTTTCGTGTTTAATCTTTCTTTGTGAAAAAGAGTGATTTTGCATTGGGAAAAAAACGAAGGAAAATTCTAATATATAATTTATTTCAGGTCGCATGTTCAAATATTGCTTATCATTCGCGTTACATTGCCGAGATGGGCCCAAATCTTTTGGCTCGTTTGTCGAAAGTGATTCCAGAACCCAAAAGACGCTCATCCAAATGGTTGAGCTCCAGTGTACCAAAGAGTCGGTGGGAGAGCGAAGAAACTCAGTGGAGCTCTGCCCACTACCACACAAACAATTTGCTGAGCTCCGTTTTGTTTGAAGAAGCATCGAGACACTTACCAACAAATGCACTAACCATCGAAGTGGCTCCACATGGTTTGCTGCAGGCGATTTTGAAGAAATCACTTCCAGGCGCTGTAAATATTTCGCTTGCCAAGCGTGCCAACAAGGACAACGTTTCGTTCTTCTTGCAGGCACTCGGAAAGTGAGTCGTAATTAGAACAAGAATTCCTCAAGATTCGCCGAATCTTTTTTTTTATCACTTTCTTCTTTCTTCCCTTCAATCTTTTCCAAAATTCCATTTCATTCATCAAATCAACCATTTTCTGCTACCTTAGAATCTATGCCAATGGGTACACCGTTCCAGTGCATCGACTGTATCCACCAGTTCAATTCCCAGTTTCACGTGGTACATCAATGATTTCACCGTTGATTCGATGGGAGCACGGCGATGAGTGGTTTGTTACCAAATTCGAATTGCAGCGTTCAACTCGAAGCGGTGAACGAAAAGTCAAAGTCGCTTTAAGTGATCAAGACTATGATTTTATCGTGGGACACACGATCGATGGTAAATTTATTTTCAAATTAATTCGAATGTGAACAATTAAAAAAAATCATCGTCATAATTTGCAGGTCGAGTTTTATTCCCGGCAACGGCATACTTACAACTTGCATGGGAAACATTGGCTTTGATGAAAGGACCTATTTACTTCGACATGAATGTAGAATTTGAAGATATCCGCTTTTTACGTGCTACTGCCTTGACCAAAGGTCAAATCATCGAATTCAATGTCATGGTCCACACTGGAACGGGCCAATTTGAAATTACGGAAAATTCAACGGCAGTTGTCACTGGGCGCATTGTTGAAATCGAAAAAACGGGACCATTGACCACACTACCGCCACTGCCACAAAGCAATTTCCCAATTATGAAAGAACGTGACTTTTATAAAGAATTACGTTTGCGAGGCTATCATTATTCAGGCGTCTTCCGATCGGTACTTGAAGCACGAGGCGATGGTCTATACGGTAAAGTGAAATGGGATCTTAACTGGATTTCGTTCATGGATTGCTTGCTACAAATTAATATTTTGGCCAAAGATTCACGAACTTTGCTTTTGCCCACGAGGTAAGACATTATTTATACTCTTTTGGGAGAATTAGAATTTGTCTAACTCTGCTATTGCTATATGACGTAAGTCTTGAAGAAAAAAAAAAAGTTTGTCATCGAATAGATTTAATCGAAGGGAAAATGTTGCTTATGTTCTCCTTTTTTAATTCGAAATAATTTTCAATTTTAAATCAAATAGAATTCAAAAATTGCGCATCAACGCTGAAGATCACATGAATCAATCGATGGCATTAGATCCTGAAAATCCGTTCTTCGAAGTGTTCGTGTGTCCTGAATTGGGTATTTTGCGCTGTGGTGGAATCGAAATCTTTGGTAAATATGAAATTTTGAATTGATTTGGAATGAATATTTGTTCTTTACACATAGAAATCTATAAAATTTGACGAACAACTTACATTTGAACTTTTTTACCAATAATTTACACAAATGAACCATTAAAATCGTTCCTCATTAGGCATGCACACGAACAGTGTATCGCGTCGTAAGGCGCCTGGCTATCCAGTTCTGGAGACGTACAAATACGTTTCATACCTATCATCGCCCACATTGCGTTTAGCAGATGCAATTCGTTGTCAAACCCAAATCATTTTGGAAAATACGCCTATGTTACGTGTCAAAGCTGTTGAAGTGGACTATGATAACAGTGCTACACCACTCTTACCCCAATTCGAACTAGCCCTTAGCGATTTGCCGTTGGTAACATCGGATTTGATGATCCTAACCGGTCAAGATTTGAGCTTAGGCAAAATCCATGTGGAAGATGGCAAATTGTCAACACAAACCAATTGCTTGATGGTTGTTAGCAAAGATTGCTTATCACGTCACGATTTCGTTGAAGGTGCTATTAAGAGTCTACACGAACGTGGATATTTGGTATCACGTGAACCATCACAACTGACCGCTGCTGAAGCGGCACGCAACTGCCCGCCAGACTTTAATATTGTATCCATGTTACAAACGGATAGCAACGAACAATTGGTTCTTTTGCAACGCGCACAAAAACGTAAAGTCCTGAGAAGCGAACTCGTTATTAATATTTCAAATCCAAGCGATACAACGACCGCTGACACCTACGAATGGCTGGATAAATTGAAATTAGCCATTAAACAAACCAAGGGCCGTGTTATTGTTGTAGCGCAAAATAATTCACGATCGGGTATTATCGGTTTAGTGAATTGTGTTCGCAAGGAACCCGATGGCAATAAAGTTGTGTGCGTTTTCATTGACGACGAACATGCACCACCATTCGATTTGCAACTCCCATTCTATCAAGAGCAACTTAGACTTGGTCTCGCTATAAATGTTTTGAGAAATGTAAGTGAATTTTTATGCACAACTGATTTGTATTTTGGCTTTTGAATACACCTTTTCTCATTTTTGTCACATTTTTTTTCATCTTATTTTCTGTACAGGGAACATGGGGTAGCTTGCGACATTTGGAATTGATACAAGAAATTAAATCAGCTCCACGAAACGATCATTGCTATGGTAATGTATTGCAACGTGGTGATCTGTCAACACTTTCATGGCTTGAAGGGCCGATCGATGCCCGACGAGAACATGATGTCGTTCAAGTGCAATATGCATCGATCAATTTCCGTGATGTAATGTTAGCCACCGGTCGTCTGTCGGCTGAAGTCATCGGGACAAATCGATTGGATCAAGAATGTATTTTGGGTTTCGAATTCTCGGGCTTGAACAAAAAAGGTGAACGTGTCATGGGCACAATTATTTCCGGTGCAATGGCCACTCAATTGGTACCCAACGAATTTTTAACATGGAAAGTACCGGATCATTGGACACTTCGCGAAGCTGCCACTGTTCCAGTCGTTTATATGACCGTTTACTGTGCATTCTTTATGTACAATCCCATTCGAAAGGGAAAAAAAATCTTGATTCATGCAGGTAAATCTCATTAATGCGTCGACCAATTTCAAATCCTTAAAAAATTAACACTTTTCGTCCATTTCTACAAAGGTAGTGGAGGCATTGGTTTATCAGCAATCCGTGTTGCCTTAGCCTATGGATTGGAAGTTTTCACAACAGTTTCCACACCGGTAAAGAAGAAATTTATTATGGACACATTCCCTCAATTGAAAGGTATGAACCATACCGTATGGTATCATGCATCGATTTCTTGAAGAATTTTTCTCTTAAAACGGTATTTCACTTCAACAGAGGAAAATATTGGAAACTCTCGTGATTGTTCATTTGAGAAAATGATCAAATTGCGTACGAATGGCGAAGGCGTCGACTTTGTACTGAACTCGTTGGCTGAAGAACAACTGCACGCTTCGATCAGATGTTTGGGACGCGGTGGAACATTCTTGGAAATTGGCAAATTTGACTTGGCCAACGATTCAAAGATTGGTACGTTTATAAACTATTTTTTTTGTTGAAATTATGAGTTCGAATACGTTTACAAGTGACCTCCGGTCAAAAACAGCTGCCGTAAGAATGACATTAAATGAAGTATGACAGCTATGAGTTAGTTCAAAATACGATCGATGATTCACAATTCACACTCCTATCAAAAATTACCTATTTGTTCCGAATTTTTCAGGTCTTGGTCCATTCTTGAAGGAAATCACGTTCCGTTCGGTGCTCGTCGATAATTTGTTTTCGGCCGAAGAAAATGACAAAGTACAAGTCTATGAATTGGTAGAAAAAGATTTGCGGCGAGGTGTCATTCAGCCACTGCACTCGACCGTATTTGAAGTGCATGAAATTGAAAAGGCCTATCGTTTCTTGAGTACCGGCAAGCATGTCGGTAAAGTCATTTTGAAGATCCGTGAAAATCAATACGACGAATTTACGGTGCCGATTGCGGCTATTCCACGCGTTTACTGTGATCCAAACTCGGTTTACATCATTCCCGGTGGTTTGGGTGGCTTCGGATTAGAACTTGCTGATTGGTTGATCATTCGTGGGGCCAGAAAATTAGTGCTCAGTTCAAGCAGAGGCATTACGAAGAGCTATCAATCATATCGCATCAAGTAAGTTTTACGTTTTTTTATCAATGGGGCTTGTTTTAGAAAAAAACGTTGTTTACAAAAGTTGGAACCGGTTTTCAATCATTTATTCAAAGGCTTCTCTTTGACAAAAATTATTTTTCGAAATAATATCCATTTGAATAGAATTTGGGAAGCCTATGGAACCAAGATCGTTGTGAACACAGACAATATCACGACTCGCGCTGGTTGCGAAAAGCTCTTCAAGGCGGCTCTTCAACTTGGTCCAATTGGTGGTATTTTCAATTTGGCTGTCGTTTTGCGCGACAGCATTTTGGATAATCAAACGGTTGAGAAATTCGTGGAATGCATGCTGCCAAAAGCAACAGCCACTGAATATTTGGGTAAAATAATGTTTATTCCTGACTGAATTGTTGTTATTTTTTCATGTTTTGTATCGTTTTTTTTGTTCATACGTCGATTTTTCCAAAGTTTCTAACAAAACGTCAAATTTCATTCTTATACAGACGAATTCTCTCGTAAATTGGCTCCGCAATTGAAACATTTCGTCATTTTCTCGAGTGTATCATGCGGCCGTGGAAATGGTGGCCAAACGAATTATGGCATGGCAAACAGTGTGATGGAGCGTATCATCGAAAGAAGACACAGAGATGGATTGCCAGCGAAAGCAGTTCAATGGGTAAATTGTTGCATTTTTCAAACACATTGGAATCCATATAGTTCAAATGATTTCGAGAAATTTGAAGAGAAAATGTTTGAACAATTTAAAGTAGAAAAATTTCAAATCATTTATAGGGAGCCGTTGGAGAAGTTGGTTTAGTTGCTGATATGGCTGAGGATAAAATCGATATGGAAATCGGTGGAACGTTGCAACAACGTATAAGTAGCTGTTTGATTGAACTTGACGCACTGTTGACGACAGAGAAGGAGCCGATCGTTTCGAGTATGGTAGTTGCAGAGAAACGAATTGGTTCCGATGGAAAGGGCAACCTTATTGAATGTGTGTCAAATATCATGGGCATTCGAGACATCAAGACCGTTTCTAGTACAGCCACTTTGTCGGAAGTCGGAATGGATAGTTTGGTATGAATTTGTCCAGAGAAAAAATTCAAAAAATTTCCAGATATATTTTAAATTAATCTCAATGTCAACTTTAGATGGCCGTCGAAATTAAGCAAACATTGGAGAGAGAATTTGAAATCTTTTTGACACCACAAGATTTGCGTTCGCTTACGTAAGTTTGAAATGATTTCCATGCATAAATCATTGCAATTATTTAGCCTTAATGCTAAAAAGCATCGATATTTCAAAAAAAAAAAAATTGTATCAAAAATTGTTCAAAAATCGTTTCTTCTTTCTCAGATTCACAAAATTACAAGAGTACGCTGATGCTCGTCAAACCAAAGAGGGCCAAGAAAACGTGAAATTGAAGATGGCCAGTGAAGATCGTGTTACCGGTGTTCAATTGTTGCTTCGTAATTTGGGTGATGAAGCAACTAGCAGAGAAAAGTTGTTGCGACTCAATTCCATCAACAATGCCGAAAAATTCGATTCATCGCTATTGATGATCCCAGGTATCGAGGGTGTGTCAAGTATTGCATGGAAAAATATTGCCGCTGGACTGAATTTACCAACGTTCATACTTCAACTAACGGAACAATCGAATACCCAATCCATCGCCGATATTGCAGCATCTCTCTATGACGAAGTCAAATCGAAAGTGTTCAAAAAACAAGAATTCTTCTACTTCGTCGGCTATTCGTTCGGTTCATATATCACGTTGGAGCTTGCGCGGCTCTTTGAGGCAGATGGAATGGCAGGACATGTTCTTTTGATCGATGGTGCTCCCAACTTCTTGAAACACCTCAGTCTTGCCACGCTGGGAACAAATCAAACCGTTACCGATACCGCAATTCAAATGATGTTGATTCATGTAATTTGCCAGCAGGTCTTTCCCAACGATAATCCAGATGAAATTTACATGATTTTATCCGAATTGAAAACATGGCCCGAAAAAGTCAATCGTTTGGTTGAGTTTGGTGTTAAGGCAAACATTGAATATTCAGAGCAATATTTACGCGATATGCTCGATGCGTTGTTCACTCGCTTGAAATTGGTGTTCAGCTATGAAGAAGGCCAAATTGCCAAACTCAAATCGTCGATCACATTGGTTCGACCAACCGAAGTGGCGGTCGTCGATATTGACGAAGACTATGAGCTATCAAAACAAACAGAAGCCACCGTCAATTTGAAATTCATTGAAGGCAATCACACAACAATGTTGGACAATCAGAAACTGCAGCAAATCATCAACGATGTTGATCCAAATCAAGCATCCAATCGCGACTTTAGCTCATACATTTGGTCCGGCAAAAACACATAATTGCATAAAATCACCTACTATTACACAACTACTTCATCTGAACATTCTAACGCTACTTTCAAGACTGGATCTCGACTCAACTTATTGAAGAAGAAGAAAAAAACAGACCAATAAACATGAAAACAATTCACGCACTAGAGTGCTTGGCTATGGTTAATTTGGATTCCCTAAACATGTACTCTGTTTTCATTTTTGGTTTAACCAAATAAATCGCTTGAATGAAGGATTCTTTTTCGAAAAATAAGGGTTGTTCATTGGGTTTTAAGTTTTATTATTTTTACGTTGAATGAAGTGAATTAAATGAAAATTTTTTAAATGAATGAAAATTGAACGTCGAGTTTTGATTTTTACAAATGAACAATTCATTGAATTACAATGTAACACATTTTCCAGGAATTAAATTCTATTTCATTTCATTTTTTGATTATATGATACACTATTAATATTACGACGTTGAAGCATTGACGCACACAACAATTCGCACATAAAAGTGACAAAACGCACACAAAAATTACAATTTGAACACAAATTAAAAATCATATTACTTAAACTTATGTTTAAATATGTTAACGGTGAAATGTTTTTATAATGGAATAAAAAATGAAGAAGTGGTTTCAAACAGATGATACCATTAATAATGGTCCATTACAAATTGTAATTTATAATCGTTTTCAATGATCACGGTCGCAGCAAGAACGTATACCATTAGCGACATCTTGTCGGAGGGATAGTAATGCCCTGTATGTTGGTCTAAGGGGTAGGAACACAAGCGCTTGAGACGAATTCGTACGAATATTCGTGAATTCTTGTGATTGTGTATACGAGACATTCGCAGCGCAGTGAGTTTACAACAACAATAACAAAGCCACGAACGCATGAATATATGCGAATACATACGAATGACATAACTTGTTTCTAGCCCCTAGATGTTGGTGTACACTTGACCATTTCTGTTAAACATGTACACTAGACTGCTCCAAAAAAAAAAAGTTGGTCGAAGAAAAAAAGCGTCATCCAGTTTCGAAAAATATACCTCAAAAAAATAGGTTTGGTCCAAAAAAATCATATGGGTACCATATAAAAACCCATAGCAAGCCCCATATCAAATTTTTCATGCCAGCGAATTCGGAAGCCATTTTAGATCGCAACATTTCGACCGATTCCATTATTCCAGCCAACTTTTGGCCAAAATTGATGATGAGGTTTTGTTTGGCTCGTCAATATCTATAACTTTTACCAAGACATCAGCTCTTGAAAAGGCATTCTGGGCCAGTTACAGTGTAAAATGACCGAAAAAATGGCAATTTTTCGGCATTTTTCGCATTTATCGCTCTACTGGTCACCCAGGTGGTGGACTTTTCTCAGTTTTGGAATGGTGTCGTGTAGCCAGTAGCCGTATGAACAATTTGGCACTTCTCAGATTGCAATTTGGATGGAATTTAGTGCCGATTGATTCAGACATAGAAGACAAATTTCAGGCCAAAATGAGCAAATCACAAACATGAGCTTCGGTTTGACAGGTAAAAGCAAATTATTTCTACCCTTTCTGCCTTTGAACTTCTAGTATGATCCTTTACGAACATTTTGGGTACTTACATGACCAAATCGAGTGATGTTTTCACATATTTCTGGCCTCATATTCGATTTCAACTCCCAAAAATCGACTTTTGACCAAAAAATCCTTAAGTATAGGCTTTTTCGTGATGGCGTCTTGGTGCAATGTTATTTTTTCTCGAAAATATGGGGAGTCTACCCAATGAAAGTATTTTGACAGCAGAATTGACAGTTCGTCTTTCTGAACAGCTATAAAAAAAATTTGCGAAATTTCTTGTTTTAACCAACGAATTGTGCAAATAAATTACAAAATCCTATCGAAATAGGAAATTTAATAGCCATTTCAACAGTCGCATATGAAGTTTAATCGAATAAATGAAATTTATACACTCTTTCCGTGATTTAATTTCTGTGTTAGGTTTTTGTGTGTGTATTGTTGTTGCCGGCATTTAGTGGTTAAGTGACAAACCGGTACATCAAAAAAAAACCAACTGGAAATAAAGTGGAATTGTGATAAGAAGTGCAGCCAGGGTGTGTACAAGCACAATTGGCTGGATTTAATTGAATAATTTAGTGTTTTGTGTGCAGAATTGGATTCTTAGTGGAATTTCGTGCGATTGTCTGTGCTGTGTTGGATCTATTCAAAGACCACCTGTCTCACACACGGGCACACAGCAACGCCATCTCTTGACAGATAGCACGAATTTTTGGTTTTTATTCATTATTCCACACTAAATCACTATATTTACATTCTCTCCCAATTTATTTTATTTTTAGCGATATTTTAGGTGCACACATTTGTTCAAAATGGATGATAGCATCATATTGACAGAAAATGAAATGCGAACAGATGAAAAATCGGGCGGTGAACACATTGCGAACAAAAAGCAAACGGATTCAACCACCGAAGTGACATCGGGTTCAGAGGGCGGTGGAAAAAATAAAAAATCAAAGAATAAGAAACGAAATGAAAGAAAAAAGATTGCGAAGGCCCGTTTTCGAGCAGAAAATCAGGACGAAGGTAGTGTCGGCGCTCAGAATACAAGAGCAAAACCGACCACT